TCTGACCTTACATGAAAGGGAGGTTCTTGTTGCCACTCCGTTGCTGGATTTTGCATCGAAATTAATGTCAGAAAATATTCGGATCTTAACCGTTTCCTTTCTATAAGTGTCCTTGGCATTCTGGGAACCTCATCTACCTCTCTCTCCGACATGCTACATCAACTCAATTTTGACTCAATCAAACTAAATCCATCTTGATGAAACTCATGAACATTTCTATCCGCTGCACCTACTATATCTTATATCGTCGAAACAAACCCCATGGCTAAGCCCGGAATTTTTAAATATTGTAATGCAGATAAGCCAATTATATGATGCCTGTAAAAGTGAGTCGTATAATCGTAATTTTAAAATGCATTAAATGAAAATGAGATATGAAAATGATTTAAAAATATATTATTATCTATTTATTCAAAATAGGCGTATAAAATAGCTAAAGAATAAAAGCTGATTCAAGCCTGCTACAAAGTAAAATTGTTTAAAAAAATATATACATATATCTAACATGAACAATAATAATTAAGTATAAATACATATATACAGATTTAACAATGTTTTTACGGCATTTTTTGGTATTTACAATACAACGCATTTATCCTTTTAAGAACCAAACCTGAGCCACGAAAGGTCTACACATTCTACAGTTGCATTCCTCTCCTTCCAAGATTTTATTCTCCTTTTAAAGCTGGAGAGGATATTTGATTGTTTCATGTCATTGGGAAGTGCCTGCCACAATCTACTCCCTAGAAACGACATCGTCTCTAAGCCATAGCACGTAGTGCGCGCTTTTGGCAGTAGTATATTGTGGCAGTAGTAGATTGTGGCAGCTTCTTAATCCATAAGTACTGTGTTTTTCAATAAAGATATTCTTCATGTAAGTAGGATTGAGCTCCCAGTTTTTTATAAATTTCAATCATCAACAGTTGTAAATTCCTGATGTGGATTGGGACCGCATTATCTCTGGGTAACATTGTGGCAAAATCTGATTTCATATCTTTGTAAGTTATTTGCAATGCCCGTTCGTGAATACGATTAACTTTACTATTAAGTTATCGCAGAACATCCAAACAAGAGGACAGAAGTTTATCTGGGACAAGATAAATGCCCTCATTATTCTCTTTTGTTGTTCAGTATCAAAAAAGTGAGAGATTCTCGAAAGAGCATGTACCTTTTGCCCAGCCATTTTGCAAATGGACCTCAATTGCTTTTTAAATCATAATGTTTTGTCCAGAACCACTCCAAGCAGCTTTTCTTCCGTACTCTCTTTTATCCTGACACTTGATAGCATTTGTCCTCATTCAACTTCATACAGTTGTTCGGAAACCGTTCTGCAATTTAAGGGCATCACTCTCTAATGTTTCAATGATACTATCAATACTGGTGTCACAAGCATAGATAGTTGTATAATCTGCGAAGTTACATATTTGAGCATCATTCAAAAACATGAAGAGATCATTGAGGTATATGTTAAACAGAAGAGGTCCTAAGACCGAGCCCCGAGGTACACCAATCGTTGTTTCTCAATGTAAGGACCCATTCATCCTTACCCTCTACTTCCTCTCATCGAGATAGCTATGGTCAACCGCAATGCACTCGTACTGAAACCATAATCATATAGGAACGCTGATTGACGATGTTCCTATATTTACATTTGATGTTGCAAAGTTCTTTCATGGATTTGCTGTCGTGTCTATGTCTGATTTGACGTGCAGAAAACACGGAGCCACCAAAAGACGAAGTTGCGTGGCTGTTGCGTCTTGATGAATTTCCTGACTGACTACAATTTAGGGCGTATACACATAAAACGAGGGGACGCTACAAATGTGTCGTTTATTACGTTACGTGGATACGAAGACAATGGAAAGTGTTAATGACAGTGACACAATGGAGGATATGATTGCAATGGTCACTACAAGCACTTAATTTAGCAATCAAAAGCTCATGATTCAAGCAATCAATTATTAGCAGTGCTCCAGCGACACCCCTTTATCTAAGGTCTTTTTGCAGGTTTCTAAGGTCTATGAGTCGTAGAAGTGCATGTTGCGTTCTATATCTCTCTTGAAATCCACACAAAAGGGGAAAGAGGAAGCTAAGGGAATGAGGTTTTATCTGACCCTCCATTACTCTCTCGTAAATTTTGGAAACAGACAATAAAACCGTTATAGGTCTATAATTTTTCTTAATAAAGGCATCAAGACTTTTGAACAGGGACGAGACCTCACTAGCTTTTAGTTCCTTTGGAAAATAGCACTCAGATGAATGAGAATTGAAGATATTCTAGAAGAGGACAGCTAAAAAGCCTGCATTCTATTTTAGGACTTTAGCTTGAATGCCATTTAGGGGAGATGCCTTTTTTGAATTCAGTTTTTGAATCTGCAAAAGTGCCTCATTAAAAGTCGTCACTGGTTTAAATTCAAACTCATTCAGTTCGCAGCATTCTTTGATCTTTTTAATGCTGGGATGATTTTCATATTTTTTGATAGCTTTTTCCACTGGATCATTTATCCCATTAGTTGGTGAAAGCAGTGCCTGGTCTTCGGAAATTCACAGACTCTCTGTTACATTTGTGAAATAATGATTAAGGTTTCTGCAATCTTTCTGCAGTCCTCAGTTATTATTTTTCCATCTTTAATCAGAATCACAACTGAATTTTTTTACATTTCATTTGAGAAAACCGGTTTGACAGTCTTCCAAAATTTACGGACATCTGTAAGGTCTCCAAGGTCAATGTTTCTATAGTAATCAGATTTCGTCCTGCGCAGGAGTTTCGCACAAAAATTTAATTGCTTTTTAAAAGCTTTAAGATTCTCCTCGTTTCTACTCTTGATGTATCTATTGTGTAATATCTTGCGATGCATCATCGCTTTTCGTACTTCCTTTGTTTGTTTTTAAAGAGCCATCATTTGCAAGCAAATATTTTTTCTCAAGAGGAGCATGTTTCATAAGTATGTTTATAACTGCAGCATCGAAAGTGCCATAATCATCGTTACCCTGCAATTCAGACGTAATCTGATCACAAAGATCCCTCCTAAAGTCCTCAGCACGGAAATTGGTGTAATTTCTATATGTAATGATGTTTGGCCCCTTTTAAGTACTGTGACTATCATGGCATGAATGTCCAACAGCCCTATATGCACTGTTACAATATTCTGAAAACTTATCTTCCCGTTCGTCAGGATCAGATCAATGCATCTAGGGCTGTCAGACCTAAAACAGGTCAGACTCTTGACCAGATTAGATAGATCATAGTTATCAAGTTATCAACGAAGTAACTGATAGCACCATCTTTGGGCTTACAATTAAAATCACCTCTCAAAGTGAACCTTTCATATTTTCTACTGTAAAATTCTAGCCCCTTTCCTATATCATCAAAGAAGTATCTTTCAGATTAAGCTGGAGGACGGTAAATGCTGAAAATTAGCCATTTTTGCTTCTTGAGAGTTACATAGATTATGTCACATTCAATGTCATTTGGTGTTTTGTAGACAGATATCTCTTTGAAGGGAACACCCTTTCTGATATAATCAGTAAACCACCTCCGTGTTGATTTCAATCAAACTTGGCGGGTTTTGAAAAGCCATCTAGTAAAAACTGACTGGTTGCAAAAGTTTTATCAATTTTTTTCTCCGCAATAGCTAATATATTAACATTATCTATTAGCCACAAGGGGTTTAAGAAATTCAAATTTGTTTCTTATCGAGTTAATGTTTAGGTAGGCAATGATTACGACTTTGTGGTTTTTTGCCCCGATAGCTTCTAAAGAACTACCATCGGAGGCTTCATTCACAGATGTATCGCTATCGGTGGCTTCGTTAGGTTCTACATTAGCGCAATTATTTTCATAGTTAATATTATCAAAATGTGAGCTGGACGGGGAGGACTAGGGAGGGACACCGCAACAGGGAAATCCGGCCCCGCCAACCTCGATCTCATCTTCCATTCCAACACACGAGCCAGACCTGGGGAACGAGAGAGGGGCATTGGCACAGGAAGCTGTGGCTGTGTCATCCTCAATCTCCCTCCTCATACCTCTTTTTACTAATGTTTTCATTCAGTCAAAGCCTTGAAGCCTTAAAAAGGTTGTCCATCAAATTGCTATCTCCATGAGAGTAAAGAAGCAACTTACTTCGATTCAGGTGTTTTGCAGAGTCAATGTTTTGGTGATCGTTGTATCGAAGTTTGTTCTCGAAAGACATACCAGCCAGAATAACATTTACCTTTTTTTTCTTCTTTTTCTTTCTAAGATTTACCCTTTCTCGCAATTAGGCCCGAAACTGTGATCGATATTTTCTCTTGTTCGATTGATTTGGCAAGACCAATGAACTTCTTTGCAATTTGGACTTCGTTTTTCTTCTTATTCCGCAGTTTGTTTGTACCCACGTGCAAAATAATGGCATCTGGTTTATATTCGATGGTTGGTTTAACATAATGTTTCATTTGTTCAACATTTGCTCTGCTGAAAGATTTCACATAAATCCTCTCATTCTTCTCACAACGATGTTGTAACTCCCAAGGTTTAACGTTCTTTATCATAGAATCTCCGACAATAACAGTTGTGTTTTTGCTTGGCATCTTTCGTTCTTTCCTTTTAAGTATCATGCTTTGTGTTTTTCTCTTTGGGGACTGTCTTGCTTTCTGTGGTATCATTTACGTTGCCATCTTCATTGTCTTCTACGATATCCTCTTCTTGTTCACCATTCTGCAGGGAGTTATCAGGCTGCACTTTGCTGTCATCATTGGGCTCTGATGCTGCAGCATTCTCATTGGAGTTGCAAGGCTGCCCTTTGCCATCAGGAACTTCTTTTGTTTTCTTATTTCTCTTTCTGCTTTTCTTTTGTTCCTTTTCCTTTGTCCTAATTTGAGTCACCG